ATAGCGAAGAAATTGCTGATGGTCTGAGGAGGCAGAGTGACGTGCGTGACCTGACCCCAGGAGAACAGAACAGAGTGGAAATCCCAGCAGGAGATACTGTGGGGTAGAAGGACACAAAGAATGAAAAGGGGTGGGACATCAGCATCAAAAGCCACGGAGAAACTCAACCAAGACCTATGCCTTCCTGCAGTGCCTTAATGCCACTCAACGGAGTGGGGCAGAGTGTGGGGGTTTGAATATCTATCAATCCAGAAAAGACTAGGCTTTAACCTAGAAGACATAGGGAATAACCAAGATTAATAATCTGCCGTAATAGAAATGGAGACTTGAGAGCTAAGACAATTCAACTCTAGAGGAATAAAGTGCTGTTTCTGCACCCTGTGATCCTCATGGCTGTGTGGGATGTGGGTGTGCTATGAGGAATTGATGATTAAACTGTCAGCAGCAAACACAAAGGTTTTTGGTAGGAACAGGCTTTTGAGGACAAACCTCCCATGGTATGAAGATAGACAAAGATGCACAGACAGTCCATCCACTTGTCCTCTTGCTCTTCTGATCAGCAGTGTCCAGAGGCCTTGCTAAGCTCAGGCCTCCTTGGAGCTGGACGGTGGGCTCCCCAAATGTCATGCCCACTATTGCAGGGCAGACACTTGGCACTTGATGTCAATGATTACAAGAAAAAACAACATGATTGTTTGGAATACATGCTTATAGTGTAAATTCAGTGATTACTGAATAAACAAGAAAACACCTGAGTAAGCATGCCTAGCACTGTACTAATCAAAACCGCCCCTGGACATTGCACAAGAGAGTCCTGTCTGATTCTATACTCCTGCACTTGTTAGTTCTGATCTTTCAAACCTTCTCCTCAACATCAATCCCAGAGAATTCCCAGAGAGCTATGACAAAAAGGGGTGTGTGTGTGTGTGTGTGCATGTGTATGTATGTGTGTACGTGCATGTGTATGTATATGTGATTGTATATAGGGATGGTGGATATAAATACATACATATATGCTATTATGTGCATGTATAGAAGCATATATTTCTATGTGTATATATAATATAAATGCATACATATATGCATATATGTATATATACATGTGTGTATCAAAGTATTATTTCCTCAGAAGAGAAATTAAAAGAATGAATTCAACTAGAGGCAAGACAACTCTATTAAGGATTTCAAGATAGAAAAATAGGAAATCTTGCCCCAAACTGATTTTACCAGAATACTACCTCTGCTTATCTAGTAACAGAATGCTAATGTCACTGGAGGAGCAATATGCCTAGCCAACAGATGGCATTTCTCAACTTCCTCTGCAGATGGGAGTGATCGTGAAGCTAAAAGCAGAAGCAGCAGAAGCAAGTTTCAGGGAAAATGCTCTTTTTGCTTTTTGCCTTCCCCTTTTTCCTGTCTGGAACTTAAATAGGGTTGCTGGATACTAGCAGCCACATGGTGAACCTGAGAAAGTAAGCCACAGTCTTAAAGAGACATGCTAGAATGACAGAAGGAAAAAGAAATAGTCCCACAGTGAACCAATCTTACAACTTTATTTCATGGATTCAGCAAAGATTTATGAGGAACAGATTGTGAGTTACATAAAGTTAATTTGTCCGGTCTTTCCCCTTGAGAAATTCATAGTCTAGTGAAGGAGAGAGAGATGTAAAGCAGTAATTATGGGATGATACATAATCTTAAAAGTATTTTGAAATACAATAACTATAGAAGCTCAGAGTGTTGCACTTCAAAATATTTCTCTTCTGCCATAATATATTTGATTCATATCATTTTCATTTTCCAGGAGTTTATAAATACGCTGAAAGTTCATTGGCCACATCCATAATGGCATTTGAGACTCATTGCTAAATTAAATTAAATTCAACAAATAATGACTGAGTACTTGGCACATGCAAGACCTTGGCTAGGTTTTATGAGGCATATAAAAACGATGGAGCAACAGTCAGTTACTAGGTAGCTTTCTTTGAGTCCCTGAGAGGCACAAGGCATGATAAATCCTCATGGCCAAGAGAGTCATTCTTTTCTTTAGAATCCTCCATTGCAAGAAAGACTTTAAAACAATACAGCAAAATGATACCTGTTGCAGAGGGCCAGTTAATAAATGTAGAAAGAATGCTAAACCAGAAAATCAGCATTTTGCATGCCCAAGAGTAATCACTGATTTAGGCAAGGGTCATTCACAGATGTTAAAATCAAGAGATGCATCGCACATTTATTAGAATGGCTAAAATTCAAAGCACTGACAATACCAAATACTGATGGGATGCAGAGCAACAGGAACTCCTATTCATTGCTGGAGGAAAGCAAAATGGTTATAGCCTCTTTGGAAGACAGTTTGGAAGCTTCTTACAACACTAAACATACTTTTACCACACGATCCAGCAATTGTGCTCCTTGGTATTTATCCAAAGGAGTTGAAAAGTTATGTTCACACAAAAACCTGCACATAGATGTTTATAGAAGCTTTATTTGTAATTATCAATACTCAGAAGCAACAAAGATGTCTTTAGGTAGGTAAATGGATAAAGAAACTGTGGGACATCCAGATAATGTCAGATTATTTAGGGCTAAAAAGAAATATAAGTTGTCAGCCAGGCACAGAGGCTCCCGCCTGTAATCCCAGGACTTTGGGAGGCAGAGGCAGGCAGATCACGAGGTCAGGAGTTCAAGACCAGCCTGGCCAATATGGTGAAACCCTGTCTCTACAAAAATTACAAAGATTCACCAGGGGTGGTGGTGCGAGCCTGTAGTCCCAGCTACTCGGAAGACTGAGGCAGAAGAATCACTTGAACCTGAGAGGCGGAGGTCACAGTGAGCCGAGATTTGCCACTGCACTCCAGCCTGGTGACAGAGTAGGACTCTGTCTCAAAAAACTAGAATAATAAAAAAAAAAAAGGAAAGAAAGAAGCTGCCAAGCCATGAAAAGACACAGAGGAACGTTTTTTTTTAAATTGTGCTTTATGTTCTGGGGTACATGTGCAGATCATGCAGGGTTGTTGCATAGGTGCATACATGGCAAGGAAGGTGGTTTGCTGCCTCCATTCCCCCATCATTTATATTTGGCATTCCTCCCCAAGTTATCCCTCCCCACTCCCCACTGTCCCTCCCCAGCCCACCCAACTGACCCCAGTGTGTGATGCCCCCCTTCTGATACAGAGGAACCATAAATGCATATTACTAAGTGAAAGAAACTAATCTGAAAAGGCTGTGTACTGTATGATTCCAACTATATGACATTCTAGGAAAGGCAAAACTGTGGAGACAGTAAAAAGGTCTGTGGTTCCTCAGGATTAGGAGAAAGTGGGGATAAATAGGCAGAGCACATAGTATTTTTAGGGCAATAAAACTACTCTGTATGATATTGTAATCATGGGCACATGTCATTATACACTTTTCAAAACCCATAGAACATACAACACCAAGAGTAAGCCCTAATGTAAACTACCGACTTTGAGGGATAATGATGTGTCATTATAAGGTTCATCAATTGTAACAAATGGACCCTTCTGGAAGGGGGTGTTGATGTTGGGAGGACTGGGCAGGTGGGGAGTATATGGGAACTCTGTGCTTTCAATTTCCTGTGAACCTAAAACTGCTCTAAAAATAAAGCCTATGGTTTAAAGAGCCATTAGGTGAAAGATTATAGGGAGCAAGAGTCACATGGTGCCCAAATGCCTTTCCACAGACTTCTAGCGATTACAAACTGGGAAACGTGCCTGTACAATGGAGAAAGCTTGTGGTCACCGCCTTCCCCTGGTGACTGAATTTGCCGTTATTAATAATGGAACAGCCTGACACTAGACATTATAATGTGTCACAATAAAGTGTTCCATATCATGTATGACGTTTTCTTGATAAAGATATTCAATCTGAGTATAATCAACTTTCTAACTATAACTTGAAGTTTGAAGACGATACAGGAAACAGAAGTCCAGTTAAATGACACCATGAGAAAAGAAAGACAAATAGAGAGTATGGGACATTCCACCTGACATTTGGCCCGAACGCCTCAGAAAGTCAGTAAATAGATAAATCAATACTTTTTTTAGAAAGAGAAGCAGAGCTGTTCCAGACAAAAGGATATTGAAGAGATATCACAACCAAATGCAATTCATGACTCTTAATTGGATCTTTGGGGTTAATGGGGAAATTTGAATATGGATTAGATGATAGTATGGAATTATTGTTAATCTTATCAGGTCTGATCATTTTGCTGGGGTTATATAAATAACTCCTTCCTGGGAGACGAGGGCTGAGTATTTGAAGTATAATATCATGATATTTGCACTCATTTTGAAATGGTTCAGCCAGAAATAGAGAGGAGGAGATAGAAAGCAAATATGGTATCCGGGCATGGTGGCTCACGCCTGCAACTGTCTCACTTTGGGAGGCTGAGGCAAGTGGATCTCCTGAGGTCAGGAGTTCAAGACCAGCCTGGTCAACATGGTAAAACCTCATCTCTACTAAAAATACAAAAACTAGCCAGGTGTGGTGGCATGCACCTGTAGTTCTAGCTACTTGGGAGGCTGAGACAGGAGAATCACTTGCATCCAGGAGGCAGAGGTTGCAGTGAGCCGAGATTGTACCACTGTACTCCAGCCTGGGTGACAGGGTGAGACTCCATCTCAAAAAAAAGAAAGCAAATATGGCAAAATGTTTGGCTTGACTGTTTGGTTCCAAGGTTGGGTTTTTAAGACATTTATGTGCCATTTCTCAAAGTTTTCTGTATTGGTAATTTTCATGATAAAAATTGGCAGAAAATATTGTATCCTGACAATATTGTTTAGATGATGCTGTAACTGTGTTCCACATTTTCCTAACAGCACTAAGGAGGTGTTTGTGTCCTCAATGTAGAAATAAAGATTTCAAGATACCACATGAAGCCTGACATCAGCGCAGTGTTATGCCTATAAGTTACTTCACAGGACACGCCTCTACTCCAGGCCATTGTGGGAGTTGAAAATGTAGGCTGCATGCCGTATATTGCACAAATGCAAGCATAGGTGAAGCCCAGACAAATTCTCATGGTTGACACTCCTTTATGTCACCCAGACAGAACTCAGAAGGTGTGGGAGAACAAGTAACCCCAAAGTTATTTAAGACTGAGCTTCTATCTGCTGACATGAGTGCTGTTTGCTTCAGCCCGTTAGGACGCCCGTGCTACTCGAGGGCAGCATTTCTGCAGGTAAGATTAATTTATTTAGCCACTTGGGAGAACATTCGAAGTGTCTGCAGTTGAGAACGAGTTTCTCTGAGCACAGTTTAGTGCAATTTCCAAATAGGGTGTGAAGTAATTCTATGATCATCTCTAAAGCCACTTTGGCCTTCTTTTCTCATTGTTCTTGTTCGCTATTGTGGCTTTTGGCAAGTTGATGGGAAGAGGTGGTTAAAGGACACGAGAGAAAGCTGAGAAAAAGTGGGGGTAACGTGCTTGTGTGTGCCACACACACATGCCTGAATGCCTGTCCTGGCCTCACTGAGGTCCTACACCTGCCAGCAAAGCCGTCTCCCATGCCCTCCTCAGCAATTTCATAATTGAGGCACAGCTCTAAACAGTAGAGAAAAGCTCCTGTACCTGAGTGTTGGGCATCTTTAGGGCTGGCTGGCTGCAAATTCAGTTCCATCATCAAAGAGGACCCTGTGCATGTGACAGAAGCTAATATTTGCATGGCATTTTACAATTTGTAAAATGCTTTGTTACATTTGATATTTCAACATGTATAACTTTCCTGGGAGTTAAATATCATGCCCACTTCACAGACAAATGCACAGAGGCTCACAAAGGCAAACCTTGCCCAAAGCGCTCAACTAGTCTGTGGCAGGGCTAGCAGGTGAGTCCACGTCTCCAGAGAACCCTACTCCTCCCACCCCGCACCACATGAGAGAACACGGCACGAATACTTCCTCCATTCTCATGGCTTGTTCTTCAGCCCGAAGCACTCAGTACATGCCTGAAAAACGCAAGAAGGTCCTTGTGATTCAAGTCCCAGTTAACTGAAGTCATTTGGGGAGTTACATCTGCAGTAGACAAAAGAGTAGGAGTTCTGGAATCACAGAATCTGCACTCAAATCCGCTTCTACTTACAAATAGTGCAACCCTCAGGGAGTTATATCCCCATCCATCCAAGCCTCATGCTTCAACCACAGGGCTATTCTGAGAACCAAATAAGCACACAGTGCCATGTAGTACTTGATAAGTGTTTGCTCATGGGAATGCTTCATGAATTTTTTTTTCTACCTTCCTGGTTGTCACAACTGCCCCAAGACCTACCTGGGAGCAATTGTCTTTTCTGGCTGGCACTCTCCATGTCAAGGCTCAGATGTCCTTTTTATTTTATACAAAAATTGAATGCTTTCAGAGGTCTGAGGGTGTGGTCTATTAGTTTAGGATTGAAGAAATGTCAAAACTCTTGTCCTCAAAGTGGTCGCAAAGCATAAAAGTATGTGGCTGAAATGTAGTGATTTTCATAGCAAGCTACTTGAATTTCTTTGTACATAAATCGTCTACCTTGAGAACAAACCTTCTTGCATAGAAAAGTTATGAGGAAAGTCCTAATTCTCTCTTGTTCTCCACACAAAAATCCTGTGGCCCAGAATGCCTTCTCCATAATACCTGTGTTTTTTTATAGGTGATAAGTACGGCTTTGTTTCAGCATTGTAATATACTATATGTCTCTAGGATTGTGCTTGAGTCAGAGAAGTCTATATAAGCTTACAGAAGAGAGGGAATTTTTTATAGCTTAATCTTTTTGATGACTGTAAGCTTGAAATCTCTTAGTAAACACTTTAGGTCCCCGAAATTTTCTGAGGATAATACTTTTCAGAATATAGTTAATATTCTCAATAAATTAACAAGGAGCATCTGTAATGCCCTTTCTCCTTGTTCTGTCTTAGAGGCAGCCTTCTAGCTAAAACTCAAATGCAATCCTCCCTGTCCATTTTTCTTCTTTTCTTCATTATCCCACTGAAAACCAGACTCCTTGTCACCCAACCCTGGGTTCAAGTCCAAGTCCTCTGTGGGATTATAGTGGCACCACTTCCTGTTCAGCAACGCTGAGCGCACTTGATGTACCTCCAAAATCTTAGTTTACTAGTCAAATAATAAAACATTTTATGTCTTTAACTGTAAAACTGCCCTAGTAATCTGTGACCTACCTACGGGCTAAATTAGATTAGTGTAAAAAAGTACCCTGTAAATGGGAAAGGTACTTGTTAACAAAATAATGTTTTAATAATCATTATTTACATAAATATTAAATTTGACAATTGTGTCAATTGTTGTTAATTCATATGTTTTGAAGAATACATGTCTCAAAGGCAAATTTCCTTGTCCAAAATGCTCTATGTGTACTGTAATTGTTGCCATAGTCTGATGAATTCATCAGTTACCTTTTTCCTACTGGGACATTCCTTTCTGCAGTCAATCAACATGGATGTGATTGCAGATTCCTCCATATTCTTGGGAAAACTTCTATATTACTTTCTGGAATCTTTGGTTTACAAGATAATTCCCAAGACGAAAAAGAATGTTGCTGGAGAGATTGTACTTATAACAGGAGCTGGAAGTGGACTTGGAAGGCAACTGGCCATACATTTTGCCAGGCTTGGAGCCATTTTAGTTCTGTGGGACATTAATCAAGAAGGCAATGTGGAAACGTGTAGACTGGCCAAAGAAAAGGGTGGTGAGAAAGTGTTCCCCTATAAGTGCGACTGTAGCAACAGACAAGAGGTCTACAGAGTCGCTGACCAGGTAAGCTGACTGGTGTTCTCTGCTTCTGTTCCCAAGGAGAATATTGCATCTCGTATGCACTTTTACAGGGAGAAGTTTGCCACAAACTTCCCCCAAGATCTCTATGTGTTTCCTGCTTGACTCTGCATGTCAGAAATCAGACTATGTAACCTCCAAAAGGGAGCACAGTGTAAACAAGGCAAGTGAGAATGTGAGAAGCCTAAGCAAGCACTGTCCAGCTGCGTTTAGGGGGACTCATTCACCAGCAGGAGGAACTGGAAACGGGACCTCCTCCTGGCTTTGCGGCTCATTGCTTGCACAGTGTTTAACAAGTTACTGTCCCTTTCTAGGTCCTTGTTTCTTCATCTATAAAACAAAAGGTTGAACCAAATTATTATTATTTTTTTGACACATAGTCTTGCTCTGCTGCCCAGACTGGAGTGCAGGGGCACCATCTCAGCTCACTGCAACCTCCATCTCCCAGGTTCAAGCAGTTCTCCTGCCTCGGCCTCCCAAGTAGCTGGAATTACAGGCCTGTGCCACCATGCACAGCTAATTTTTATATATTTTTTAGTAGAGACAGGTTTTCACTATGCTGGCCAGGCTGGTCTTGAACTCCTGAGCTCAAGTGACCTGCCCCCCTCAGCCTCCCAAAGTGCTGGGATTACAGGCATGCACCAGTGCCCTGGGCCAATGGTTTGTGATCCTAATACATATTATCCATTATCATCATGTAATGAGGCTATAAAGAATATAAAATATACAGTAAAAATAAAAATAAATTTAAATATGCATTTAGCATATTTTAGACAAATTTCCTCTTGGACTTAGCCTGCTGATATTTGTTAGAGCAAATACTCCACGTTAAATATTGACAAATCCTCGAAATCGCAGCTGCCATCTGTTGTGTGACCAGCAGGTACCCTAATAGCAATGGGTTACTTTTGAGGAGTGTTTCAGCCATGTTACCTCAAGTAAGGTGTTGTGAGGCCAGACGCAGATGGAGAGAGAGAAACAGAATCGAGCGTTTCCATTTTGTTTTGCTCATGATCCCCGGGGGAGAACACAGCACAGCCTGCAGGACCATGAAGGGGAGCACTGGGGTCACTGATGAGGCAGGGAGATTGGGCCGGTGGTGGGGGCCTTTATTGTGTTTTTCTCCAGAAGGAATAGGCAAAGCAGGGTAAGCGGCAGGGTAAGCATGTTTAGGAATGGTTAATTTGAATAACTTCAGGGGGATCTAGGGCATAGAGGCTGTCCCTGGTTGTCTGGTACCTGGCCTTGGTATGGCTGGGGTAGGCACAGATCAGCCCAGAGTGTGAGGACCCGATAAGGGAAGCGTTTGGATATGTGGACTTAACAGGCTGTTCAGGAAGGGAAACCAATCAGCCTCTAGCTATGGCCTCAAACTGGTCAAGACAGCACCAGAAAAAAAAAAAAAGCCCACTAGATTACAAATAGTTACTATTCTAAACACATTATGCACGTCACAACTCATTTACTCAACACAATACCACCTTCTCAGGTGTACATCATTATCACCATCCCCACTTACAAATGAGAAAACTGAGGAACAGAATGAAAATGTAATGTGCCCAAGATCATAAAACTAATGATTGGCCAAGATTCCAACCCAGGCAAGTTGAAGCCACCATACTATGAATATATCTGGGCTGAGCTAGGGGAGTAGTCTAACAGAGCTCCAATCCCAGTACCACTAACTGGTCAGATCAGGACCCTGGAAAAAGTCTTTTCTGCCAAAGTATTATCCCATATAGTCTTCACAACGAAGTAGGTACTATCATTTTCTTGTTCTCTTTTTTTTTATATAATTTTTAATTGCATTTTAGGTTTGGGGGTACATGTGCAGAACATGCAAGACACTTGCATAGGTACACACATGGCAGTGTGTTTTGCTTTCTTTCTCCCCTTCACCCACATTTGGCATTTCTCCCCAGGCTATCCCTCCCCACCTCCCCCTCCCACTGGCCCTCCCCTTTTCCGCCCAATAGACCCCAGTGTTTAATACTCCCCTCCCTGTGTCCATGTGTTCTCATTTCTCATCACCCGCCTATGAGTGAGAATATGCGGTGTTTCATTTTCTGTTCTTGTGTCAGTTTGCTGAGAATGATGTTCTCCAGATTCATCCATGTCCCTACAAACGACACAAACTCATCATTTCTGATTGCTGCATAATATTCCATAGTGTATATGTGCCACATTTTCCCAATCCAGTCTATCATTGATGGGTATTTTGGTTGACTCCAGGTCTTTGCTATTGTAAACAGTGCTGCAATGAACATTGGTGTGCATGTGTCCTTATAGTAGAATGATTTATACTCCTTTGGATATATACCCAGTAATGGGATTGCTGGGTCAAATGGAATTTTTATTTCTAAGGCCTTGAGGAATCGCCACACTGTCTTCCACAATGGTTGAACTAATCTACACTCCCACCAACAGTGTAAAAGTGTTCCTTTTTCTCCACATCCTCTCCAGCATCTGTTGTCTCCAGATTTTTTAATGTTCGCCATTCTAACTGGCGTGAGATGGTATCTCAATGTGGTTTTGATTTGCATCTCTCTGATGACCAGTGATGATGAGCATTTTTTCATATGATTGTTGGCCTCATATATGTCTTCTTTCGTAAAGTGTCTGTTCATATCCTTTGCCCACTTTTGAATGGGCTTGTTTGTTTTTTTCCTGTAAATCCGTTTGTGTTCTTTGTAAATTCTGGATATCAGCCCTTTGTCAGATGGATAAACTGCAAAAATTTTTTCCCATTCTGTTGGTTGCCAATTCACTCTAGTGACTGTTTCTTTTGCCGTGCAGAAGCTGTGGAGTTTGAATAGGTCCCATTGGTCTATTTTGGCCTTTGTTGCCAATGCTTTTGGTGTTTTGTTCATGAAGTCCTTGCCTACTCCTATGTCTTGGATGGTTTTGCATAGATTTTCCTCTAGGGTTTTTATGGTGCCAGGTCTTATGTTTAAGTCTTTAATCCATCTGGAGTTAATTTTGGTGTAAGGTGTCAGGAAGGGGTCCAGTTTCTGCTTTCTGCACATGGCTAGCCAGTTTTTTCAACACCATTTGTTGAACAGGGAATCCTTTCCCCATTGCTTGTTTTTGTCGGGTTTATCAAAGATTGTATGGTTGTAGATATGTTGTGTTGCCTCCAATGCCTCTGTTCTGTTCCATTGGTCTATATCTCTGTTTTGGTACCAGTACCATGCTGTTTTGATTACTGTATCCTTGTAGTATAGTTTGAAATCCAGTAGTGTGATGCCCCCCGCTGAGTTCTTTTTGCTTAGAATTGACTTGGCTATGCGGGCTCTCTTTTGGTTCCATATGAAGTTCATGGTGGTTTTTTCCAGTTCTGTGAAGAAAGTCAATGGTAGCTTGATGGGTATAGCATTGATTCTGTAACTTACTTTGGGCAGTATAGCCATTTTCATGATATTAATTCTTCCTAACCATGAACATGGAATGTTTCTCCATCTGTTTGTGTCCTCTCTTATTTCGTTGAGCAGTGGTTTGTAGTTTTCCTTGAAGAGGTCCCTTAGGTTCCTTGTGAGTTGTATTCCTAGGTATTTTATTCTTTTTGTAGCAATTGTGAATGGCAGTTCACTCTTGATTTGGCTTTCTTTAAGTCTGTTATTGTTGTAGCGGAAGGCTTGTGATTTTTGCACATTGATTTTATATCCTGAGACTTTGCTGAAGTTGCTTATCAGTTTCAGGAGTTTTGGGGCTGAGGCGATGGGGTCTTCAAGGTATACTACCATGTCGTCAGCAAATAGAGACAGTTTGGCTTCCACCTTTCCAATTTGAATACCCTTTATTTCTTTTTCTTGTCTGATTGCTCTGGCTAGAACTTCCAGTACTATATTGAATAGGAGAGAGGGCATCCCAGTCTAGTGCCGTATTTCAAAGGGAGTGCTTCCAATTTTTTCCCATTAAGTATGATATTGGCTGTTGGTTTCTCATAAATAGCTTTTATTACTTTGTGATACGTTCCATCAATACCAAGTTTATTGAGGGTTTTTAGCATAAAGGACTGTCGAATTTTGTCAAATGCCTTCTCTGCATCAATTGAGATAATCATGTGGTTTTTGTTTTTGGTTCTGTTTATGTGGTGAATTATGTTTGTAGACTTGTGTATGTTGAACCAGCCTTGCATCCCCGGGATGAATCCAACTTGATCATGATGGATAAGTTTTTTGATTTGCTGTTGCAATCGGCTTGCCAATATTTTATTGAAGATTTTTGCATCTATGTTCATCATGGATATTGGCCTGAAGTTTTCTTTTCTTGTTGGGTCTCTGCCGGGTTTTGGTATCAGGATGATATTGGTCTCATAGAATGATTTGGGAAGCCTTCCCTCTTTTTGGATTATTTGGAATAGTTTCAGAAGGAATGGTACCAGCTCCTCTTTGTGTGTCTGGTAGAATTCGGCTGTGAACCCGTCTGGACCTCGGCTTTTTTTGTGTCGTAGGCTCTTAATTGCTGCCTCGACTTCTGCCCTTGTTATTGGTCTATTCATAGTTTCAGCTTCCTCCTGGTTTAGGCTTGGGAGGACACAGGAGTTCAGGAATTTATCCATTTCTTCCAGGTTCACTAGTTTATGTGCATAGAGTTGTTTGTAATATTCTCTGATGTTGCTTTAAATTTCTGTGGAATCTGTGGTGATTTCCCCTTTATCATTTTTTATTGCATCTATTTGGTTGTTCTCTCTTTTCTTTTTTATCAATCTGGCTAGTGGTCTATTTTCTTGATCTTTTCAAAAAACCAGCTCTTAGATTTATTGATTTTTTGAAGGGTTTTTCGTGTCTCAATCTCCTTCAGCTCAGCTCTGATCTTAGTTATTTCTTGTCTTCTGCTCGGTTTTGAGTTTCTTTGATCTTGCTCCTCTAGCTCTTTCAATTTTGACAATACGGTGTCAATTTTGGATCTCTCCATTCTTCTCATATGGGCACTTATTGCTATATACTTTCCTCTAGAGACTGCTTTAAATGTGTCCCAGAGAT